GGTGGTTTGTATGTATCACTAATTGTTTGTGTTGTAATATTTTCAAATGATTGGTTTGCTTGTGGCAATCTTATTTATGTAATAGAACTCTTGTTCTAAGTGATCTACCTGCATTAGGTAGGGGTAAGGTCTGCGTACAGACTACCCTCCCCAGACCTCACCAGTTGGGATATACTGGGTTTGTTGTTGTTTTGTAACTCTTGTTCTAAGTGACAAGGAATTACTTTCTTTTAATAGAAAGTGCAAACTTCTTAACTTAAACCGTGACGAATGACGAATGAATCACTAGGTGAGTAATTCCTGTCTCTGTTAACAGAAACTGATTAGAAGTTTTCAACAAATACTTTTTATCTTCTGTAGCTGCTATTTCCTTTCCTTTTCTTTCTTTCAGAGAGAACAATAACTTAATTAACAGAGGACAATAACATAATTTAGGTTCTACTACAAATCTGCTAATTAACAGATATCTACATTAACAATGTATCCAGATATGCCCTTTGCACTTGGATTTTTAGCTTAAATTAGTTTTATTTCTGCATTTTGAACAGTTGGTTCAGTGGATTATTGTCTGTCTGTAGCTGAAAATTTGTAATATTTCATCTTCTAGATAGTATAGTATCCCAAATTTTTGTTTCAGCTTAACAATTTCTTTCACAGATCTCCGTGTTTGAGCGTCGAAACTTGTTGGAGGAGTAGGGGATGACTGTTTTAGGATGCCTAAGGGTCTGAAAATGGATATGCAAATGTATCTCTTATTTTAGCTACAAGATCAGATTTTTTTCATAGAGGCAAGAGTTTTTATCTGCTGACGAAGATGAGGAAATTGTTGCGGCCAATACTTGTTGTTCTGTTGTTCAGAATTGACTGGAAGAAGCTCTTCTTCATTGGTGCTATTCTGACACTGTTTAGGGTTGTAGTTCAAATTTCTACACTTCCTCATCCTCTGACTGAATGGAGTCTCTTTCCATCATTGGATGTTTCATCTTATCGAAATTCGAACCATGAAAAGAAATTAAGGGAACTTCCGGCGAGAGATAACTGGTTCAATATTAGTCAGCATGCCCCCCTAGTTGTTTCAATCAACTCTACCGACAGATTAAGTCAAAGAATGCAAGTTCTGGAAAAACAAGAGCAAGTTTCGAGACAGGGGAAACATAGGAAGCATGTCACTGCAGTTGATAAATTTATTTCCCCTCCACCTGTTAGAAATGTGTCCAATAACTTGCCAGTAAGTTTTCTTTTGTGTTATATTCCTTAGGACTATTACTGGTAAATTAGTTTATCTTTCTTATATCTTGTTCTTTGTACTGTAATTGATATTCCAGAGATACATAGCATCGTTGACTCCGGATGAGGCACTTGCATATGCCAGAAGAGAGATTGAGAATGCCCCACTAGTTAGAGATGATCAGGGCTTGCATACTCCTCTGTTCAGGAATGTATCTGCCTTTAAGAGGTATTTGATTATTGTTTTAGATAGCTTATTTTCTTGGTTATGATGATATCCTTCGATATGACATTACAGAGTGATTGTGTTTTTGTTTTCGTTTTCTGGAATATATACTCAGATATGACATATTTTCGTTTATGAATCTAAAATCGAGTACTTAACAATCCCCACTGTCAATAAGCTTAACAATCATGACGTCATTCTGGTTTCCTGATTTGCAAGGTCTAGTTGTTAAAGCAGTAGCTGACATGTCATTAATCAAGAATCTTATATGGAAACCAAGAAATTGAAGTTTTCATGAATTTCAACCTGTAGGTCATAGCAGAAACTAAAATATTGGTTAGAGTTGTTAAATGAATATATCGTATATATTAGCAATTCAAAAGTCTCTCTACCCACTATTATATAACTGCTTGGGCCAAGTCTAGTGAGATACAGTTGTAAATGTTATTATGACTTCAGATTGTGCTTTCTGTACATTGACTGGCAACCATTGGCTATTGAAGCTTTCTCTATTAAGCTTATCTTTGTAATCTGTTTCTCTGTTTTCAAAATTAGTTTTTTTCTTTAAACACAATTAGGTTGACATTCCAGGAGTTATGAGTTGATGGAGCTTATACTCAAAGTTTACATTTACAAAGAAGGGAAAAGGCCTATTTTTCATCAACCTTATCTTAGAGGAATTTATTCATCAGAGGGATGGTTCATGAAGCTGATGGAAGAAAGCCGCCATTTTGTGACACGGGACCCGGAAAAGGCTCACCTATTCTATCTTCCATATAGTGCACGTCAGTTACAAAGGGTACTATACGTGCCTAACTCACATAACCTTAAGCCATTATCGGTGTTCCTACGGGACTACGTGAACATGCTAGCTGCGAAGTATCCTTTCTGGAACCGGACACGTGGGTCAAATCACTTCCTTGTTGCTTGCCATGATTGGGTATGTATGTATATCAATATCGTCTCTGCGCTACAGTTCTTTCATGAGCATTAATCTTTTTACCTAAGCTTTTAAATTTGCTTTCTAAGGCTGGGGAGTTGGACTTAGTTTAATAAAAGAAGCTAGAAATTTAAAAATATGGAACTAGTTGATTAAACAATATGACTAGACTGACATACAATAAAACAAAAGAGCTTACGATAGAAGTAAAAGTGTCAAAGTTATTTTTCTGAAAGTGTTGGAACATTTCTGTTTTAGATTAACGAGTATTTTATGTCTTCTAACTACCCCATGTTTTAAAATATTCTTACAGGGACCTTACACGCTAAAGGATCATGAGGAGCTAAGTAGAAACACTATAAAAGCTCTCTGCAATGCAGATATATCTGAAGGAATATTTGTTAATGGGAAGGATGTTTCCCTTCCGGAAACCACCATAAGGAATCCCAGGAGGCCGCTTAGAAACCTTGGCGGAAAAAGAGTGTCACAACGCCCGATTCTTGCCTTTTTTGCTGGAAATATGCACGGTCCGGTCCGTCCCAAACTTCTTAAGTATTGGAAGGACAAAGATGAATCCATAAAAATTTATGGGCCTTTACCCCATAGAGTCTCAAGAGTTATGTCTTATTCCGAACACATGAAATCAAGCAAGTTCTGCCTTTGTCCGATGGGTTACGAAGTTAACAGCCCGAGGATTGTAGAGGCGATATATTATGAGTGTGTTCCAGTTATCATTGCTGATGATTTTGCCCTTCCATTTAACGAAGTTCTTAACTGGAGCTCTTTTTCTTTGGTTGTTGCTGAGAAAGATATTCCTAGGCTAAAGGAAATTTTATTAAGTATACCTCTGAGACGTTACCAGGCCATGCAGAATAATGTCAAGATGTTACAGAAGCATTTTCTGTGGAACTCTACACCGTCTAGATATGATCTGTTCCATATGATTTTGCACTCAATTTGGTTTAGCAGGCTCAACCAGCTTCAAGTATCACAAATATCATAATTCCTCGAGTTCTAATCGTTCCAACTTGACAGTCTATTGGATTATCAATTTGGATGTTGATATGCAAAACTTTTCAAGAGTTGCAGCCGGTTCAGTTCTCTTAACTTGTTCACTTGAAATGATATCAGATACTGAATGCTTCTGCCACTTCTTTAGAATATCTGAGTTTAAGGGCTCATCTTCTTGGCGGTTGACAGTGTGAAACTTTTTGAGAGTTGCTGCTGACTAAGTTCTCTTCACTATACACTTGGAACAACCTCAAGTACTGAATGCTTCTGCCGCTTAGCTAGAAATCAAAACTAGCAGTCGGGGAAAGGCTGCCATTCTATAAAGGAGTTTAGTAAGGGAGAGAACCTATGTTCATGAATCAATAAAGCAATCACTGATGGCAGAATCTGCTTTTGCACTTGACGAAAAGAAAGCTTCTTGCAGAAGACTAACTCCGATAATGATAGTTGATATCCCAAGTCTCAAACCTAGCAAGTTTGGTCTTATTCATAGTTGAAGGACAAGAATGGCGGGTAAAACTTTTGTCCAAATGTCATGAGCATTTCACGATTTCCCAGATATTCAAAATATTTTCTGTAATGATCTCAAGTTTGCAGAACGATGCAAGACAAGGAGTAGTCCATTGATATTCCACGGAAATGAACCAAAATAAAACTACGGTATGCTGATGTGTATCTCGATGATCTTTCCCAAGTTACAGGATTACTTTGAGAAGAAAAGAAAAAGACAGAAAAGAAGAGAAGTGGAGAGGAAAGAATAAAGTGAAGAGAGAAGAAAGATCGAGATAATGGAATATTTTACGATACTCCTCTTCGTTAGTTGTTGTGTATTTATAGATGAGCTGTGCCTGTGACTGAATGAGAGTGAGCTGAGCTTACACAGTTACTGCTTACTGATTCAGATTAGGACATGCATATTCTCTCAGGAGTTCATTTCGTGCGTTATATGCATCTGCGATGTTGCATAGAAGATCAACTGAGTTCATTTTTCAGAACAGTATTGGTCTCAGAGATGAGGTAGTTATTCTAACAAAGTGCATTTATCATGTATATCTGATAGCAGATTTGTGTTGCTGATTATTTATTCTTCTCCAGAAATGAAGTGCCAGTTCAAAATTCCAATTGATGTTTGTATCAACTCTACAGAATACTCATATAGGTTAAATGTGCCTAAGATAGCATTGAATACCCCAAATTCACTCTTATACTCGTCTTGCCAAATCATTAGCTGTGATATTCGGTTAAAACGGTGTGTGATATTGTCCGCTTCGGGCTAAGGGCTGCCGACTTTTCCCGAAAACTCTCATACCATTAAGAGTATTTAACTCTTTATAAGTAACTTCTCTTCTTCTTTTTTTTTCTACTTCCCATGTGAAACTTTTTTCACACACATCCAATAATGTATTTCGTAATCTTGCTTTACTGGACTCCTCTTTATGACCACTTTCTTCTAATCATTTAAATTGAGATTGTTCACCAGTACTCGTGTTTTCGACTGCATTTAACAAGAGAAATATTTTTAGGATTTATCTTGATTTGTTAAAAGGTAGATGCTTTGACCATAAGGCTATGTGATCTATTTTTGGCTATCAACTAATTTTTTGGAGTTACTTAATGTTTATCGAGATTGACTTTGAATATATTGCGTTTGTTGCCATAAAACTAATTCAAAAAGTATTTTGGTATCGTACTCATATTTTTAGTTTAAAATTATAAAAATCAAAAGCGTTCTTTACTTTGTTGTAAAAATAACGAGAAACAATTCGTTTTTCAACTTCCAAAAGAAAGTTTTACATATCTTGACGGGAGAAATTCAAAAATAGCCAGATTTACCACTGGTCGTTGAAAAATACCCAAGTTTCAAAAGTCATAGAAATTTAGTCACTTTAAATCTGAGCGAAAATATTGTTCAAAATCCGGAAAAATACGCCCGCAAATTTTACGGGAGTTCCAGGATAACTATGCTGGAACTCCCGCAAATTTTACGGGAGTTCAAGCATAATTATGCTGGAACTCCCGCAAATTTTACGGGAGTTCCAGCAAGTATAATTGTCCAGTATAATATACTGGAGTTTGGAGCACTGGTGCTCCAGTCTCCCGCAAATTTTACAGGAGTTAGCAAAGTATACCGGTCCAGCATAATATGCTGGAGTTCGTACACAAATGCACCAGAACTCCCGTATATTATACTGGACAGGTCCCTGTTGCAGCAAAATAGTGGCTATTTTTCATTGACTTGATAAACGCTGGCTATTTTTCATTGACCAGTGTGAAAACTGGCTATACCATGATATTTTAACTATCTTGACCCATAGTTTAGCCCATCTTGACCCAGCCTATCTTAGCCCAAGTACACTTTGGGTTGGGTTGGGCAATAATTCATTTATTGACCTAACCCATCTTGACCCGTCCAAATTCAGCCCAACCCGCCCATTTGTCACCCCTAGTTCCACCCAATAAAAAAGACAGCTTATTTATCTCTTTGGGCTGACTAACTACATAACGCCAATTAAATGACGTAATAACCAATACGGGAAAGGGCCAAAAATGTCCCTCTACTATCTAAAATAAGTCATATCTGGCCCCCGTGATACTATTTAATTAAAAAAGTTCTTACCGTTTGTGCCCAGAAATTAAAATGTCCCTCCACCGTTTACTCTGCCATTTAAAATTAAAATATCCACTTGGCAGTCTTTTATTGGACGATTTAAACCCACCCCTATTTTTTAATTAAACCACGACCCAGTTCATTTTATCCGACCCACCCGTATATCACTTAAAGAACACCCCAAAACAGATCGGTCCTCATTCCTTCCTTCAACCATGACAAAAGATAAAATAAACCTTTTGTTTTGGGGTGTTCTTTAAGTGATAACATAAAATTGAAAATACAAAAAAAAATAAAAAAAAAAATAAAAAAATAAAAAAAAAATTGGGGCAACTAAATAAATTTCTATATAAGCTGGGTTGAGATACCTTTTGTTTTGGGTGAGTTTTATGGGTTGTATTTGGGCTGCTAAGTGGGTCAGAATGGGCTATAAAATAGGGATTTTTTCCTTCCTATACCATATATGAAACCTTATTACCAAAAATGTGCATATTTGTTAATTACCCGCCCAGTCCACACTTTAACTACAATTTATATACCAATCCATAATTAGGCAGATTCTGCCATTTAAAACGCGCGAAAAAAAGGCACAAAATCTGCGTTTTATTCTTTCCACATTAAATTCGAAATTTAAAACGGAAAGAGATCTGATTGCTGCGTAATTCTCTCTTTCACTACAATTCAAAAACAACGCAGAGCTTCAGAAGCTTCAACAACGCAATACAAATTGTAGAATTCAAAATTGTTCTTCATCGTCCTCAGTGCTCAAATTGTCGAACCTATATCTGTTCTTCATCTTTTTTCTCTCAACTACACGAAATCATGTCAAAAATCCCAATAATGCTAAAATTGAATGGGAATTGGGATAACTATGGCAGATTTAGAGATTTTGAAGTTGATACCATTGTGGTAGATGAGAATGCAGGTTTGTGTAGTTCGAAAATGCTTAGAATTTTAGTTTTTTGATATTATCTACAAATTTACTACATATATCTACAATTTGACTACAAGTTCTTTACTTGGTGCAGGAAAAAAATATTTTAATATACAATGTCTCCAGATTGTAGATAAATTGTAGGCAAATTGTAGTTTACTTGTAGTTTGTAGTTAATTTGTAGATAAATTGTAGATAAAATGTGGATATATTGTAGATACAATATTTTTAATATTGTAATTTTTTTTCTTTGTGTTTGTTCTGAAAATGTAGGTGAGGGCTTCAACAGATCATATACATACTGTGTTGGATGGTGTGAAGCGGTACATTGTGTGTCTAGAAAACAAGAAATGTAGTTGTAGCCAATTCCAACTTGAAGAACTTCCATGTGTAAATTGTTTCCAGATTGTAGTTATAATGTAGGTTAAATGAAGTTGATTTGTAATTTTTGTAAAATTTTGTAGACAATTTGCAGATTAATTGTGGATAACACATTTCTACGATTGGAGTATTTATTTCTTATTTTTTGTTGTGTAATTTATATTCAACTCACAGTTATATACAAATATTACATAGAACTTGGAGGTAAACATCTAAAAATTACCTACAGTTTAAGTACCTAATATAAGAATAACAACAGTGAATGTACAAATTACCTACAGTTTAAGTACCTAATATAAGAATAACTACAATTTACCTACAGTTACAGGGCAAACAGGAAACACATCATCCACAATCATGTCTACATTATATCTACATTTTAGACTACAATTAATCGTGGAATGTTCTACATAAACTACAAACTAACTACAATTACACTACAAACAGTAAATCTAGGTGAGGGCTTCAACAGATCATATCCATTACACTAAATCTACAATTACACTACAATTACACTACAATTACACTGCAATTATACCAGAAGAGGGAATTTTATTTGGTACCCAAAAACAATTGTTGCAGAGGAAATTGGCACGACATTCAAATATAATGAGATTTCGCTGGCTAATGCATCTCAAGGACATCTTTCGTTGATTGATCTTGCAATCGTGGATGAAGAACAAGAAAGAATGTGGGGTATGGGTAAAAACGTGGGTGAGGGGGTAAGGGGTAAGGAGAGAGAAACGTAAGATATATGGATACCTTTAATTAAGGAGTAAAAACTGCCCATTAATTAGATATGGATACCTTTAATTAAGGAGTAAAAACAGCCCATTAATTAGACCCTTAATTAAGCATGGTATAGGATTGGTAATTTGGTATACTAAGTGTAATTTACTCAAACCTTAAACATGTAGGGTAAAAAGGTTTCCTATGTGGTATAGGAATGTAAAAATTCCTATAAAATATAGAGAAATTTTCATAAAGCACTATCTTTTAGTAGTAATTAGCCATCTAGAGATAGCATTTGCTATATTACGGATTATAGATACATTTTATGTGGTTATAAAATGTATTTGATGTATTTAAGCTATTGTATTCATGAATACAGTAGCAAAAATAGGCGTGAATTAGGGAAGTCCAGCTAATCAGTTGTTGTATTCGAGTGTATTCGACTGTATTCATAGAGTGAAACATGGGATTACAGCTGGACAGATTATTGTATTCGACTGTATTCACGGCGTGAAATATGGGACTACACTGTTTTTAAAACAAAAAGTGAATCAATTAACATAATAGACTCCTAACATAACTCAACAAACTCAATTATAACACACAAAATTTATATTTTCAGTTATAAAAAAAGATTCTCAACCAAAAAATACCCCAAAAACATAGCAATCTTCAGAGAAATTATATAATACATCTGAATACATAAATTATATTAATTAAAAAAAAACTTATGAATACATTCATGGCATATAGCGAGATAGTGAATACGATAAAATACATAGAATACAGCGGGATACATTGAAATACAATGGAAAAAAAAAGACAGAGAATACAATAAAATACATGGAATACAGCGAGATACATTGAATTACAATGAAAAAAAAGACAATGAATACAATGAAAATCATGAAAATACAGCGTAATACATTGAAATTACATTGAAATATATTATTGTTCCATTCGTGAGATGAGATCCAATGGTTTCTTGACTAATTCTTTGATAATCTAGAGCAATTTTATCAGCTTGTTCTGCATCTTTGAGACGTTTTGCTGCACCTCCAATAGGTTTTGTACTGCTCTCTAGTATGCTTTTTACGTCGTATCAGTTTATTCCAAAGTTGGTTACTGCATTTAGTCCAGGGAATTTTATTGCTGCAATGCCATAAGTCGCCGCCAACTCCTCTACTGCAGTTCAATTCCAGAAGAAGACAAAGCAAAAAGAATGAAAAAAAGTTGATTAGCGTATAAAGGGAGGGGAAAGTGGGAAGGGATAGAAAGAAAATCGGTGGAAGGAGGAGGAGATCGGAAATTTTAGTGGGATGGGGGAAGAGAATGGGATGTATCAAAGTAGAGAGAGAAAGAAAATAGTGTAATTGATTAGCGTATTTAGTGGCTTAGGTCTAGGAGGTAACCAAAATTAATATTTTGTTATAAACATTAAAAGGTATCTATAGAATATAATTATTTTAAATAGTATTTATTTAAAATAAATAAGATCTTAACCTTTGCTATAGGAGGTAAAAATTCCTAAAATATAATGGGTTAACTTGGGCTCAGCCCAAATTGACCCATGAGCAAAAATATTTGTAATCCAACCCATTAATTTCTGGGCGGGTTAGATGGGTTTGGGCTCAAATTGCCACCCCTAGGTGGAACTTGGAAGCTATGAATCCGCATTGAAGTGTAATTGGTCATAAAAATAGTTAGT